AATATCGATTGACTATTATATTTATATGTATATATGTATTTCAATTTTGAACACGTTTTCAGTCTTTATATTTTATTTCCTTGGTTGTGCTTAAACATCCGACGTCTGACACTCTGACCGCATTTATAACAGCAAAAAAACGTAGAAATGGTTGCCCTAATTAAAAACTACAAACGAGTTATAGGTACTTGGTAATTTATGACAGACTCTCATAAACAAAAATAGTCTCAAGCTCATCTAGACAATCGACCCACTCAAGAATATAAATATTTAATACTACGATATAACTTGATTATTCTAGTTTTAAATTCAGTTTCATTTTTTAATAATCCGTAGGTATAGTTAAATTTATTGTTCGATTCACCTTTGTATTTTTCGTAATTGATAGCAACATGTGTTGGATTTCTCCTGTACACATTTAAATTTGTATACATTTGGTGACTGGATACATTAATAATTATTTGTATGCCAAATGAAAGATAAGGTACCTACAAAGTTTTTTACTGTTAAAAATTAATGAATGCAGGGTATTTAACATTTTGCAATACCAAGCTAATTTTTAAAATAAGAATATATCGATAACATTATACGTTATATTAGAGTGTACATGTTGTCATAATGCTAAAACAAATAAGATAGTGACTATTTAAACTGCTGGTTGTAAATAACATAATTGTAAATAGGTACCTATCAAATATTTTTTAGATTATTTTACTAAGTTTACATATAGAATGGGGTATCGTACGTGGTCCAAGTATAATAATATATGGTCATATATCTACCTACTTTGTAATAGGTACTCATATTATTAAAGTCAACGAATAAAAAAAATAATAAATAATCAATAGATGATAATAGTTTCTATTTCAGATCAAATGTAATTCATAGAATGAATACAATCTGAATCGTATATTTAACTACTTCAACTTGATAATCTAATATGACAAATTATTGTTGAATTTGCCAGGAATATTTATACAGTTTTTACGGATATTTAGACTATCTGAATATTCCTTGGAGACTGATATTATGAACCCTTTATGTGACTTTTCACGTTTTCATAATTTATTAGTAAAATGCTTATTTGTTACTAAATGATTCTTTGTTGATATTTATTTTATTTCGATACACCGATGTAGGCACTAAGTAGCTAACATTTTGTGACGTAATAAATTTTAATATGACCCAAAACGTTGTCATCGGTACACCTATAGGTATACATCATGGAACACGTATTATATCATCTGTTCCGAGTATTCGTATAGAATATTGATCACGACGTGCCGTATGCTTGTAAATTGTTGTTGGGCATTATAAGTTCGTGGGCGTGTGTAAATAGGTGCATATTATAATATACAAACATCGAAGACGGGCTTATTGAAATTTTATACGACCCACGCACAAAGAGCCGAGTCTGGTTTTTAGGGGATAATGCGTATATAGTATATATTCTATATAAATACCTTCCTAACCTAACACATATATTATCATTATATACGTACGACAGCTCAGCGTGTTATAATAATATACCCGTAGGCATATGCCTATGGAATAATACCATTTTAATACTTGAAAATATTATCGGCCGAATATTATGCGTTCAGGTCGGCTTTTAACGTACATAGCTATATAGGTACCGAAGAGACGTCATAACTCATACGTCTATTCAAAGTACACCCATCCCGTCACGGGGCCCCGCCGTTGGAAGGGGACTCATCCTTGCAAATACGAACATAGATGTCCCTGAATGATACGAGTGTTCCCTCTACTATACCCTATTATAATTTAATATTGCATTGTGTCCATTGACGATGAAATGAAATCAAAGGATAGCAGGTAGGTAAGTATCTACTAATGTACGGATTCCATGTCATACATTCGTATGTATATATAATGTATATGTCTCACATAACATCGCCGTCCATTATATTATTTTATTTTTTCCGTAATATTGGTAGGTATTTTTTCTGTATAATATTGCATTGTGTCCACCGACGACGAAATAAAATCAAAGTAATATAGTGGGTAGGTACTAATGTACGGATTCCATTTAATATTATGTAGAATGTATATGTCTCACATACCGTGATCTACTATTCTACTAATACAATATCGGTAGGTACGTCCGTAAAATAACAGAAAACAATACAATTTGATTAATCTAACTAATAAGATAATATGCAGACTAAAAGGACCCGGTCATAAAATAAACGTATAATGCTACGAGCATAGTATATAGAAGTGATGGTATTATTTTGTGATGAATCTATTATCTATGAGTGTATATTTAGGTATGTAGGTATATATGAATACTGGTAAGTATAATAATATGATGGATTCATTCACTTATAGACTGTGTATTCAGTTATTTCAGATTAAATTTAACAAAAACACTGTACTTGCAAAACACTTAAAATGTTCCTAAATACTTAACGTATTTAAAATAAGAATGTACAAGATGTGTTCACCAAATACACGCTGAGACGTAAAACCATTTTTAGTGAGGGATTAATAAAATATTAATTATATTTTAGTAACAATTGTGAGTTGTAACTACAATTATTTAAAATGAAGTATACAGTTTTTATGTACGAATAACTCATGGGTTACATATCGTATCATTTAGTTTTATAAACTTTATTACTACTATATTAAAATCTCAGTGTGTTAAGAATAATATGAATTATGAACATGACTGTTCAGCTCCAATTATATTATTTTTTACTATCGACTTATGCTTGACAATATTATAAACGAATGTCACCAATCTGTTATTATGATTAGTTTTAACAACTAAAATTTGATTTAAGTTCTATGACTTGTAATGTTTGAACAGATCAATTTGTATTTGATTATAATTTTTAAATGATTAAATTGTAATTAAATTATAATACATACAGTATACACAAATACACAATATGTTATGGTGTGAATAATTGTTTTGGGAGGGGAGAATAATTTAATATATTATCTATATTCGACCATACCATACTGATTACAGTTATTTGGTTATAAGTACTTATAACTTTATAACATTAAATAATAATAATAATTATGAACTATAACATCAGCAGATAAGCCCAATGAGTAATGATCAAGTTAATATTTTAGATACAAATTTATTTTATTGATATTATTATGTTATCTTAACCACTGCACGTTAGCACATCACTGCCGTAGGACTGAATAATTAAGCGTAGTACTGAATTGTTAATTTTTTTTTATTTAATAATTAATAGTCAATACTCAGACCTCAGAAAGCTTATTTATAATATGAACTAATTCATTGGCATAAAATTTAACTAAGTTCATGAACTTCTTCATTTTCACTAAATTAACTCTATTCATTCTATAGTTGATTAAAAAAAAAAAATATTATCTAGCTTTCTTCCACCTCGATGGTTATAATTTATATTAGTATCATATTAATTAGGTACATTTTATATTATACATACTGCTTAAATAGTCCTAATTAAAAACGATGTACTCATATTCATATTAGGAAATAAAAACCTGTAATAATAAAATCGTTACTCATATAATTATTTTTATTAATATAAAAAAAATAATATTGTATCGATTAGGGTCTGAATAACATGAATAAACAATGAACGATGTCAAAATTGATGACTAAATGTTTACAATATTCGACTTTTTTGGGTAGGTATTTAAAAATTTCAATTCGCTATTTTAACAAATACATTTTATCTGTTACCTAATTATTATAAAATAAAAAAACATTTTTTTTTTATTTTGAACTTTGAACGAATTAATTTGACTTACTCATTCCGGGATCTGATTATACAAATCAAATAATATACTTACTAAAATCTCCACAAAAATAGTGACCATATTACGTGAATATTGTGCGTTTGAATAATACATCAACTATCAGCTATATGGTCGATAATTTATTTGTAGTATTAATATTTCCTTCATAATATACATGCATTATGTTCGCCATATTCGAATTCCATAAAGTATATAATTTTTCATTATTATATTTTAAACACTAAATAATAAACTAATTATAAAAAAAAAATTAATATTATAATATAACAACGTACTACTATTTGGCTAGGTAAATACGAGAGTAAGAATGTTTTTGAAACGATTATAATATTTTTATATTATAGATCTTATATCATACTCATTGAAGAAAAATATGCACGATGAATGTTTTGGAGTTGATTTATTTAATTAAATACCAGTTTCAATAGAAATGTTGTTCATGTGATTTCGAGACAATTATTAGAAAAATATTATTAGTAGTTTTATGGCTTTTATTTCTTGGTGTGTAAGTTAGTATTTAAGTAACAACTTTTAAGTATTGATTAGTTTCTGTGACTGTTCAATTTTAAGCATTTCAAAAATATATCGTTTTATTATTTTCTGTTAAGTATAATACACAGCACATAATATAACAGGCTAACATAAATTATTTGATTATCTGGTGTTCGCAGTCACTTATAGAAAACCACATAAATATTGTGCACGTCTTATCTTGATTAAAAAATACTCCAAGTTAACAAAACCTGCGGGCGGGTCCATTAAATTAAAGTTTTTTTTTCGTATAAATATTACACCATTCGTTTGTAAAGTGTAAAGTGCTCTATATAAATTATCGCTAAATGGAACACGTCCGATAATATACAGAACACTCGCATTAATGCACACACAAATAATGCTATTATCCACAATCAACGTGATTGATATGATCACAGGCTCTCGCACACATACCTATCACATACGTCAATTATAAATATCTACATATCTGTATAGTATCATAAGGTGTTTATGTTTTATATTTTGGTAAACGTTTTAAGGAAGTATACACTACACAACGCACGCATTACGCTTATGAGTATGAAGTATCAGATCAAATCGACTGAATACGGCTGTAGAACACTTACCCGTTAATAATAATAGTAATGCTTATAAAGATAATCATATGTAAATAACAATCGATGAGTTTTCACGGTATTCGGGCATAATTACACGTTAGCCTATCTCAAAAATGGGCATGTGTGTTGAGTGTAAAGCAATAATGATAATGGGCTCGCCAAAACCGGCTGGTATAAATTAGCAATAATAACAATAATATTAATACTGCATAAAGGGAAACCAGAACACTCCGTATACGTACACGTTTCCATTATGTATAATAGTGAAAAGAAGGGGTTCGGTTTTCATTTAGACGAGTAGATCAAAAAGATCCGTCCCAATCCATTCGCTGAGTTGGTTGACGGGACAAGCATGTTTGAATTTCGCCTGTGTTGGTTCATATTGTTTGCACAATTCAGGGTAAGTGCTATTATACACAATAATAGTGTGCTGCCGTTTATCCCGCGATGGATTTAACCATTTAGGAGTCCCTTAATATTGTATAATGAGTTTTGTGTGTTTATAAACTTTAGGATATGCGTCTATTCAAAGACTTTAACGATTATCCTCTCGTCGCTGCTCAGCCGATGCGATACCTGGCCGACGGTTCTCAAATACCGTTACTGTCTGTAAGTCCCGAGAACAAACACGGTAGGCTGGTGTCGTTCAACGATGTATGATGTGTATTTACTGTGTCGTACCATAACCACGATCAAACGAATCGATTGTCGATTCGATAATCTATCCACATTTTAAGATATCACTTACACTATATAACTGGACTGTTAGTGCTAATAAGGGGTTTTCCTGTTTATAATATAGCTTCTGCAGGACAGATCGGCGAACGCGGTTAACAATCAGAGACGTCACCGCGGGAAACACGTTTATACGGATTGGTCGGATTGGTCGGATTGGAGCTCGTGTTCGGATAGATGTACCACGGTCAGACAAAGGTTAGTTCGGTAGCGTTCACTGTTTAGCAATATAGGCGTATGTGTATTATATGCCATCCTTATTTATCAATTCATCATGCTCCCGTAACATGTGGGCCGTACATACAAATACTACCCAATTTCACAAACAATAATTTCAAATAAAAATATGTCAAATGTAAATTAATTAAATGTAAAATATTTGAGAACGGGAAGGAAATATAATAATAAATTTCAAAAGCCCGGGGAGGGGGGATTGCGATAATGGTACCACTAGTGGTACCCGAACCCTGGTACCACACCTGTAACAAGCTGTATTTAAATTATATGAATACGACGCGTGTTCAGACATTGTTTACGATCGAAAATTTGTGGATCGAACGTCGTTACCGAATCATCTTATTGTTTTGTGACCGGTTCGAGATGCCCGGGGCTCGTGACGAATTACTACAAACGGCTCAACACAAGTTTCTCGAACAAAGGTTATAAATTATTTTCGTAGAACATGTTGTTCATTATTTGAATGGAAATGTTGTATTGTGTAGTCTTAGGCAACGCGTATGATGTGTCCGTGAATTCTACATGTGGTGTTACTGTTGCTTCTGCTACCATTCCCAGTTTTAAGACTCCTAGGTTTTTAATTAAAATAATGGGAGGTCAAGAATCTGAGAAATTTCATTGGCCTTGGCAAGTCGCGGTGTTAAATGGATTTCAGGTATTATGATGGTAAAATAAATAATATTGTTCACATCATCCATTATATTATGCGTCATCACCTTTTCAGGAGATAATTTGCGGCGGTACCCTCGTGGCTCCTGGTTGGGTGCTCACAGCTGCGCATTGTTCTAGACGAAAATTATTCGTGATATTAAAAGAATACGATCTATCTGTTAATGAAGGCGATGAGATCAGAGCGAGGGTACGTACGTCGTATTCTGTATAATATGTATACAATGCATTACTCGATTTGTTTGTTTACGGAGGCAATAAGATCAGATTAAGGGTATGAATGTTGTACATGTACATCTTATGAAATGTATACAACATACCATTATATACGATGCACCCATTTTATTATAGTGAATGGTGTTTAGGATTTTAAAATATTATTTGCTGTGTGCCGACTTAAGTACAATAATAATAATTATTTCCATGACAATTATAGGTTGAACGTATTATAATACATCCCAGATACAATCCAAATACAATTGATAATGATATGGCTCTGTTAAAATTACGTGTCTTGGACTTAGAAATATATGGTGGACTAAACTTGCAGCCAGCTTGCCTTCCGCCCTCTGATTTTCAACGGCGGAAACGGAAGCCTAAAATGTGCGTAGTTATTGGATGGGGAAAAGTGCAATCTCAAGATCCTTATGGATCTCAAATACTTCGTGAAGCTAGGGTATGTGTAGTTTAGTATTTATTCCAAAGTAGATAAGAAACTATATACTAAGAAAGTTTGGTACAATAGTTAATACAGCATTAATTACTATCGTATCAAATAAGAAAATAATATATTTTCTGTTTCATAGCTATTTAAAGGTTAAGCCGAGTTATAAAATATTTTTATCTATACATAGCTGCCAATATTAATATCAAAAATATTTTATATCTGTTTAACAAAAATGCAGTTTTCACAATGAGTAATCAACTAAATATTTCATAACTTTCACCAATAAAATTTTTAAAATTGTTTTAATTCTTTAGATATCTAGCTGTACATTAAAAAAAATTAAATCGCCCCTCATAGTATGATAATTCTAAATAATTTTTGTGTATTAAAATGCATATACATGTGTAATATGGAGATCAGGTCTCATAATATTTTGTTTTTCCGAATTACCTTTACTTATAAAATTCTTATAGTCAAATAATTACATGAAAAGGTATAAAGAAATTGTATTAATTATTATAAAAATAAATATTTTATCAGATGAATAACACGATTAATGTCGAACTACTTATGTAGGTATAACGCATACCCATAGATTTTAAATCAAAATATCACCTCCATGATGTATCTAATTGTTGTATGGCAATATAGTTACAAATTTATATAGCAACCAAGGCTATTTCATATATTGTGTAACTTTGTAAGTAAGCTAAACATATTTATTTTACAATTTATAAGTTGTAGAGTATAGCTTTTTTTTATAAAAAACATCCCAATACTCATGTACCTAAATTAAATAATCAGAGCTCAACACTGATAAAGGTTAATTTATTTCATTATTCGTATTTCGTTTTTGTAGATCACATACATTAAGTACTTATTACATTAAACAACTAAAAGTTATGAGTGTTGATAAATGCTCACAGATATTGTGCCGGGCATTGTGGACAGTTTGACATTCCCCAAAACATAAGTCACAACTGTAGTAGGTATCGTTTGTGTATTGCTATGCACCGTCCCAGCTAAGCACATGACTTAGGATATCAATCTAGTCAATGCAATATTGTTATGAAACTTGCTAACTAAGTTTTTTTTTACCATAAATCAATTCTATCAAAGGCACTTGGCTCAAACAATTACAAAATTTAGTAATACTAAGTAATTATAATATTAATTGATTTAGTATTAAATTATGATATAGCAAATTAAATTAATTAAAAGTACCGAGTTGAGTCTAACTTGCTTGAATTAATATTATATTTCACATCTCTACCTTATATTCTATATGAATAAATACTCTCGCCAGCCAACAGTAAATGCTTATTATGTATTAATAGCTTGATATGTGTAAGTATTTATGTTATTCATGTTTAATCAATAGTTGGATAACTATTTTAGGTTAATATATACTTTGACAAATAAAAATGTCTAAATTTCCAAATTTCGGGCTTATCTTGTGACACATAATATTTTATGAAATGTGCTTTTTTATTGTCATTTGCAGGTTCCCATCGTTAGTCGGCGGACTTGCCGATCCGCGTATTGGCGGTATCAGATCACTGACAATATGTTCTGTGCGGGTTACAGAGACGGACGCTCGGACACCTGTTCCGGTGACTCAGGTGGGCCACTTCTGTGTAAAATGCGGGGCCGGTGGACGGTGGTGGGTGTTACAAGTTTTGGATATGGCTGTGGTCGGCGAGGCAAGTACGGGATCTACGCCAATGTGGCCAACCACGTGAGCTGGATCTCGTCCGTGACAAAGATGTCTGGTTATCAGTGATCCGGCGATGACTTCCGAAAGAAGTGATTGAATAAACTCCTTTAAAATAGTTACCTGATCTTGTTCATTTATATATTTTTTTGTATGTAATTCTACATAGAAAATGTTTTTTTTTTCAAAAAAAAAAAGTTGAAAATTATACAATATGCCTATGGAATAATATAGTATAATATAATATTCTATTATATTATTGTTATTTATATACATCGTATTCATTAAAACTATTACTAATAATATCATTTAAGTATAATTTTGATTACAAGCTCAATCTAAATAATTTATATTACTAGGTTAGGTTTAGGTAGGTACATCTGACTATCTGAGTGTATCTACCTATTTTCAATTTGCTTCATACTACAATAAATTATTTTAATCATTTTTTGTAATTTAGTTCAAGCACTGTCGGATTAAATGATAATTTTACAGAAATGGAAAACCTCATGTGGTAAGTATACACTATACATTGTTTTGAAACAGTTATAAGACTCTGTTTACAATTTCACTGTTATATTTCAGTTTTTGGAAGGATTAGAGTATAGGCAAATACACTAACACTAGTACTACAGCAATACGGGGTGATCAATTTAATGCAAGGAATTCATTATTTCAGAAAACATATTTTTGAAAATATTCCTTTTACACTATTTAAAGTTGTTACTATGCATATTTTAAGTTTATTACTTTTTCGGATCACAGAAAACTTACATTTTCAACTGTACATTCCGGAGCAGAATATTATTTGGAGTATTTCGATCCATAAATATAACATTTTAGAAAAGTAGTATATTAGTCAACAATTTATAAGTATTCAAAGTATAGATGAGAAAAGTAGCAGACCAAAATATTGCTGCGTATCAAGGATACTATTGCATTCGGCTCATCTAAACTTTAAATACTTATAAGTCATGAGCTATTTATTTAAAATTCGTTTTAATACATCGAAATACTCCAAAAGTATTTTGCTTTAGAATAGTAAATTAAAAATACATAATGACAATAAAACAATATATTTTTTACGAAAATTGTTGGTTTTTTAATGGCTTAAAATGATGTAAAAAATATTTTTAAAAACGTTAATAGTTTTTGAAATATTGATAAATGGAGCACGTTAAATTGAACACCCGCCCCAATATTGACAATTATTTCACTAAAACTTCGTTAAAAATGATAAAATGCTAATTTATATTTTCACCTTGAAAATTGGTATTTTATTTTTAATTTGATATACAATTACCCTGAGTAACAATGATTTCTTCTTATATGAATTGGACTTGATGAAATTTCTTTGATTAAATAATCTAATATTATTGTAATTATTATCAATGGATCAACATGATTCATGAGTGGACTGCAGTGTTTAGTGTTACTGTGTTAGTTCAGTAAAAATGTTCTTTAATCTATATAAATTGAGGCGTATAATTTAAATTGCTGTTCTAAAACAATTATGTAATATTCTTTATCAATACTACAAATGATATTATTTAATAAGACATAAGTTAATTCAGAAGAGTTGATAAGAAAATATTTAAACAATTACAAATAACATTGAACTTACATTTCTGTGTGATAAAAAACAATGTTATGAAACTCTAATTTTATTTTGATTTCACATTTATTAATTTTTAAAAATTGCTTTAATTTGTTTTATTTGTATATAGTAGTAGTTGCAATATAATATTTATAGTACCTACACAATAATGTCTGCAAGACCTGTCTTAACAAGTTCAATTATTTTGTTGTATTTTTACGTTGTAATTCAAAAAATAATGATGAACCGTAAAGACTTGCTTTCAGTAAATATTCACATTGGAGTTTGCTACCTACATTACCAAAATATTTCGGTCCTTCTAAGCCATTTATAAACATTTTGAATTTTAGCCTTTGTTCAATTTTTTTGATTGCATCATATTATTAAAGAATGACATTTTTGACATTAAGTAAAAAAAACTTGGAAATTTAACTAATTTTTATAATTTGTTTTTGCAGTAATTTAAGAATGTCAAAAATTTATTATAGTTATGATCTTTATTTTGGTACAGATGACTGTTTGAAATTAAAATGTTGATGAAGTTGGATATTCAAACAGATAGTAACATTTAAACTTCCTCAAATTTTAGATGCGCGATCATACAAAACGGCGACAATTGCAAATGGAAATTGCCAAATTTAGCAAAAATCATTAAAATTTTTTTTAAAAACCTATACGTATGCGAAAAAGTACTAAAATCTTCCGTTTCTGAACTCGTTTTAGTATGATTTGAATTTGTTGGATACTCAGTAATACGTTAAAGTACAGGAAAAAATATTCAAAACTGGAAATTGGAAAAACTATAAGTCTCGATCCCTGCTTGCCTATATAATGTCATCAAACAATTGAATTCAGAGCTTTCTATCATTATTAATATTTTGTCTTACATAATAGTTCTATAGGCGTGAAGTTTATTTGCATGTAATTGTTCGTTTTCGCTTTTAATACAAATACAAACTACTTCCGTTAAAATATTGTATAGAACGTTTTATTTATTTCCACGTCCGTCAAAAAAAAAAAAAAAACATACATACATTTTACAATAATAATAACCGTAATGTGCTCCAACAATAGGCAGGCATCACACATTTTTGGTGAACATTTTGTTTATATGAAATTCATCACGCGAAGGGTTGACATTAAAAACATTATCATAACAATGTAACTATTCTAAAAATATATATTATACGCATGTTCTATATATATATATTATAAATTTTATAATATACATATATTATATAATATAATATTATAATTTGTTACACAATGTAAAAGTTTACAAACACCGAAAACAACACCAACATTATTACATTATCTATTTCGAGTAATTTTTTTCATTCTGTCTTGGCGTTGTTATTTATTAATTATTTTTATACAGTATAATATTTTATGTCCCTGAATTCTGATACAATCACAGTAAAAAACAAGTGTGCGACAACAATGCGCTTGATTAAAATTTTAAAAACTTAACACCATATTCCATTTAAACATGAAAAAAAATCATAAAATGTCTTCTAAGTCGAATGTCTAAGTTTTTGTAAAAAATTATAATAACATGGGTAAGCAGTTTTGTATAAAATAAAATAGCTCAAAAAACAAACAGCGGAAACTATTAAATTGAAATGCTGAATATTTGGATACATTTTTACGAAATTCATAATTTTGATAGTTTTATGGAAGCAATAATTAATTTTTTATTATTTATATACTTAATACTTTCAATGGAAATCATAAGTTTAATCAGGTACGTAGCACAATTTGTATTTTCACAAAGGTTATTTGATTTTAATATAATTTTTGTTTAATGTTCTACGCAGAGACAACTTTGAGAATAATGTTATTTATTTTTTTTAATGAATAATTATAATTCTGGATTAGGTATGACATCTATTTTTTTTTAGGTTTATCGACTTATATGATAAAATATGTGGTGTGAGTTGTCAACGTAGATAATCGTATTTGGAATTGGTTTATTTTTTGACAGTAAGATCTGTTATTGAAGTGAGAAGGTTACCATAGTGGCATAATAGGGAGTACCTATCGAAAAAGTTTATCGTTTAAAAAAAAAACGAATTTGGTATATAAAAACCACATCCACAGGACATTTTTTTTGATAGAAGGATTTTTACACGTCAAAAAAGCATTAAGTGCTATTATTTTAAATTGAGTTTTCGGCCAGTTGAAATTTTTTCAAATAATCAGTTGTGAACACGCAATTGTGGAAATTAATTCGGCGCACAAGTCTAAAGGCTTATGAGATTAATAAAACGTCGTGTTTGAACCGATGAGATTTTAGAAGTATTGTAAAAATATGCATATTATTATTATATTGTCGTGACTGAGAGCCTGGTAGGTATACAACTTCGACTGACTTAAATCTTAATGTTATAATGCTGATCAATGATTTCAATATATTGATAATTAATTCAACTGATCTATGTTTCGATTATAATAAGTTGAAAATTAAATTAAAACTGCCTGAAAAGCACACACTGAATTATCGGGTATACGTATTATAGTTAACATAAACAAATTATTTACATATATAATATATGAACGTCAACACTTCACACTCTTAATTATAAGTTTATACGGCTTAGATTATTTTTATTATTTTAATTGTTAGATTATACAATATGATCATATTGTTTTATAAAAACCATACAACATAGATACCATGCAATTTAAAATATACACATAAGTTATAAACGCGAAAATAAACAGTTGAAAACTTGATTGTTTCTTAAATTATTATTATTATTATTATTATTAATTTTAATTTATAATATAATTACTTAGTAATTTATGTATATATTTATTTATTATTATTTTATTATTATAAATAGCCATTATTATGTGAAAGATAAAAATCTTTCAGCGATATGATATAACAAAACATCATGTTTGTAAATAAATCTTAAACTAATCACAAAACATACATATCTTTATTGTAAAAACTAAAAATTGTAATATTATTATTAGTGGTCTCCTTTTCAAAATGATTTATTATTTTATAGATAAGGCTCGACGTGGTCCCAATCAGACCTATGTCTGCTGAGCCTCTCGAATACAGTCTTTTCGATTTTGTACTCCCCGGTACCAGCTTGCTTGCACAGGGTGCTCAGAATGTCTTGATTATCGACAGTTCGCGTAGGTAACACGATCTAAAATAGTTTTTTTTTGTGAAATTTCGGTTACTCTTTTCTAAACATAATAATATTTTATTTACGTTTATGAGATCGTTGGGTGCAATTTTAACCAGATTTATATCTTTTTTCAGCCTTGTCATGATATGATGGAATTCTTCTTTAGCATTGGTTTTTGACTGGCTCTTATTGGTTGCCCATTTTATCATTGCCTGGAACTTTCGAATTTCGGACACTTCGAGTGGCCTACACATTATCTGCTGTACCAGTGACTCGGAAAGTGTGAGGAAATCACAGTGATTCAAAACCTAGACATATACAACGAGGTAACAACAAACTATATACAAATAAATAATATTACAACTGTGTAAAAACAAAATACCCTCAATGCGTTTTGTTCAATATAAGTAAATATCAAATTAACTAATTCCACTGCTGAATTATATCTCCATACGTAATTTTCCAAACTGTTTAACATCAGGCATATCTGAAACCAATAATAAATTAAGTTGTATAACAAATGAAGGAAGGGATCAATTTATAAATATATACTTACCACATCTACTCTTAAATGCTGTTTTGTATGATGGAAACACGCCTGTAATAGCTCTGGCAAGTCATAGTGTTCAGCTGCACATATTAACCCGGGGACATTCGCACAAGTGATTTTACAAGAGCTCGTATGTAAGTAATCCAGTAAAATTCGAAACGTGTCGGGATCAAATTCGATGATTGAAAACTTATGGAAAAATAAAGTAATTGATTTTATAAGTGAATAATTACTAGGTGCGTGACCATTTATTATTATCGTACTACCTCGATTTGATTGAGTTTCGCTCGATCAATCTTGTCCCCTCCGTTATTTGGACAAACACTTACTTTAGGCACGGACAACTGAGCTAACCTTTCTTTCTCTTTTTCTTTGTCCTTTTCTTTTTCTTTATCTGTAAATATAATATTTGTTAGAAATATTTGAGTACTATGGATTTTTAACCATGCAAATCCACGTACGGCTGAAATCTTGTGAAGAAGCCCACTTCTTTTTATCATCAGCGGATAGATTTTGTTGTTTTCTTATCGACTTACTCCATCCAGCAGTGATCGTTCCTAATCTGGTAAAAGCTCTCCGCATCATCGGAGAGCTGGGCACACTTTTGGCCCTTTAAATTATATTTATTATTTTTTCATCATTAATGACGAATATTTTAAAATGTAATTACAATTAATGAAAAGACTAACCTTGGTGTTTCTATATCTGGAACTTGTAAAAAGTTACTACTTTTTGCTTTTTGGTGCTGTTGAGAGGGTAAACTAGGAAGACCTCTGGCTAATAGTTCGGCAACCGGCATTTGAGGAGATCCAAAACCGGTGGAAATGCCGTATAACATTTCTTGGAATACTCTGTTAGATAATATACAATAATATTAAGACACAGTTATAATATTTATATTGTTTTATATTTCTTAAAAATGATTTTTTTAGCACATACCGACTTCTTACACCTAAAATGGCTCGTACTCCGATAAATTTCGTTTTTTGCTTACTTTGGCCTACTAAAAATACTACATCAAACAAATGGCCATTTATGGAGACATTTGATTCTGAGTTTATAAAGAATTTCGTAAAATCTTTAGCAAGAGTATCATAGTCTTCAAAACGATCTCTAACCGAATCGAGTAATGGACTAGATGGCCTCATATGCCCTATCGGTCTCCATGAACCTCTCCTGTAAAATTTTATAGTAGTGTTATATGCAATACAGTAATTTATAAAACTCTTACTAACCTATAAGGTTTAGGTATTTGACCAGTCTCACAATGATTTTGTAAGTTAGCAACGATATCTTCAAGCATTTGACTACGAGTACGTTCTTGCATTCTAGCAAATTTTGGTGCTGAATAACTAGCCCGTTCGCCATTTACGATCTTTGTTAAGATCCACTCTCGAAACATATCTTTTTCTTCGAAAACCGATTGTTCCCAAAGATATGGTTTATAAGCCCCAACTTCATCTCTAGTCACTACAGATACCTTCGAAAAGTATAATTGATAATGATTAAATTGAATTCAAAAACAGTTAATAATTAATCATGTATTTACTTCGTATTTAGTCCTTTCTGTTTTTCTTCGAATTCTCGGACTTACTCTGACCAATATAAAAGTATGAAGAAAATGTGATTTTATACATGCTGGTGAAAATCGAGTATCATCAGCTTCGAGGAATACAACACACACAATATCATTACCAATATGTCTTTTTCTTTGGAGCTATAAATTATATGACACAGTATTTTATTATTTTACAATTAATTCAAATTAACTTTTTACAAGTTTACTTTTTGTGCATCGTGTGCTTCATATGGTAACATAGTTGAAACGTGGAACATAATTTCAATATTTCTCCAATTTGTATATACAGAATGTGTTCCAGTCAAATCGTGTACTGTATCTAATCCTCCTCGATACTTATCAAACCCTATGAAATGTGTAATAAATAAAGAAAATGATAATAATTATGTTTGGATGTGTTATCATACCACAAAGTCTTTTGGTCTCTCCTAAAAGTCCAAGAAATTCTTCAAATGCTAAGCTATTTTCATTGTTGTCCAATATCTCTTCCTCAGTGGTTTGGCCCTCTTTTACGTATATTACTCCAACTTTGAGTTCAGATTTCATGAACACTTGGTCTAGTTTGAGTAGTTCATCGGCTGTGTCAGGTAATTGGCCAAGCACTAACGGTGGATTTAAATTAATCTCTTTACCTAGAGACCTGACCACTTCCTCACGATTATAGCGATCGGCAAATACACAAGACGCTGGTATTAAGCCATGAACTGTGTAGCTGATTGCTCTGACCAATATCCTAGGTTAGGAAGAAACAATATTAAATGCATGTACTTGTATTACAATTTATTTGTTAAAACGGAATGTACCTAAATTGGTCTCGACCATTAATGGTTTCTTGTTTTAGACTTAGAATAATTGGGCCCAAATCTTCATCATTTGTGAAGTAATTCCAATGTTCTTTTTGATAAAAGTATCTCTCGAATGTTTCTTGTTCTACAGAAGTCAATTCAAAACATCGATTTTTCTCCCACTGCTCCTCAATTGAAGTTTTGGGTCTGTAAGACAGTAGATTAATAATTAATAAATACATCACTACCTATATCTGTATTTAATTACAGCACCTGGATGGTGGCATGACGTAATCATCATCATACGGATAATATTCATCATCCTCCAGTAGTAGACTATCCGAACCCCTTGGCCGTCCATATCTATTTCCAAAATATTCTTGGGCGCCATCTGCGCCGTCTGAATTTGAGCCGTTATTTAACTCTCGCTCATCAGATCCAGATTCTTCAACATATCCTGTTTCGCTAGTGATTTTTTGACGAGAACATTCTATCCAATATCCGGGAGCTGGCTGGAAGTTATGAGGCCACTCCTCACAGATATCATCTGTACAAAATAAAACATAAAATAAAATATTTTTATATATTGGAACACTCTAATTTTAAATTAAATAATATGTTTTTTGTTTATGGGCTTAATTTTTTTGACTTAATTTTCCTTTCGAGTAAACATCTTCCAGCGATTTAATCAATTACTCGTGGTTTAAGAATCTACTCTACAAATATCCCTTGTAGTGACAGAATATTTCTGCTCGGAAGCTTAGGACATAAGGGTTTATATTGTTTTGGCTTAATGTTTTCCACTTCGTTGGTTGCAAAGTTAATCTTGGAAGAAAGTATTTTATTTCTAGATTTATAGTTAATTAGTGTCATTATGCAGGTACTGATTAGATTATGAATTAGCCAGAAATAATATTTCTGTCAATAATGTTTGTTCCAATCATAATTTTTAAATAATATATATTTTTTTTAATTAGCACATTGCGGGTGTAAAACCAAGTAACATGAGTTCATTTTTCGTATGTTGTTTTTGTAATTTGAAATTTATACAAAATCCTGTGAATATTTTTTAATTAATTATGATATAAGTTATGTCGTAAAAAGGTTTTTGAGGTACAAATTCACAAGGCAGGGCAAGTTAATGATTTTTTTTTAACTCGATTAAGTTAAGTTAATATGCACCAATAACAAAAAGTTAAAAGTTAAAAGTTAATACCAATTTTTTTAAAACTTTTTATGAAGTTAAAAAAAGTTAATTTTTTTTTATATAACGTTAGCGTACTTAATGTTTTTCCTAACCAAAACTATAGTGTTTATACAGTATTTTCATATAGTACCTAATTGTATTTTTAAGAACAGTAGTTACTTATCTCATAAATAATAAGTAATAAACTAATAAATAATTACTAATTCCTAAAAATTATAAATTAGAATCATTTAGTTGTCTTTCAAAGAAATATTGTGCGTATGTGTAAGCGTTTATGATAGAGTATTACTGTATATTTAATATGCAATAAAAATCACATAATATATTATGAAACAGATACCTACTTAGTATTATATACTTAGTAGGATAAAAAATATTAAGTGAGTACCTATACAATTGTTTATATGTACATAATATAATATTTATATATTTATATCCATCATATAAAAACTACCTAACTTCAAATTATATTAGAAATGAAAATATAAATTAAACGAAGGGATAATAAATGAATTGAAATAGTTGGATAATATTTCAACATAATTTTATATACATTTATTCATGCATAGATATACTTAAACTATAAGTTTAAACATAAGTAGATAGTATTAATTTTTGTGCTAAAAAAAAACATTGCCTTCAAAAATTATTTTTTCCTTTAGAATACAGTAATTGAAAAAATATAAAATTTTAAACTTGAAACTTGAATGGCAATTATTTTTTTGACATGACAACAAAATCAAAATAGACTCAAATAATGAAATGTAAAATATTAATAACAAAATAAATTAACTTAACTTATTTCTTAAAATGATAAATTAATTCTTTAATTTCATGTTAATTCAAAAAGAAATTTAATAAGTTAATAGTTAAGTTAATGAAAATCCGAAAGTAACTAGTTAAATTAAAAAGTTAAAGTAAAATTAACTTTTTAACTTAGCTCTAACTTTTTAACTCGTTAATGCCCAGCCTTGCAAATTCATATCAAACACATTAAAAGCGATTTAGAAATTTTTCAAAAGTATTTATAATATGTTCAAATTCATATTAAATCCACACATATGATTCTTATCTATCTTACAAATGATCTCAATATTTTTAAGGGAAGAATTTAAAAATAAGGATTATTCAGATACATTATCTCTTATGAAATATTTTATCGCTGTTTCCAGAAGTTGTATAAACACAGCATGTTAAAATCAGCTTTAAAATAACGTTGAAACTATAGTTGACAATTTTGTAAAATATTAAAATAGTTATAATATTTTCTATGATTTATATTAACTCAAAACAGTTATTTCTTATTATTTTAAAATTGGTCTCATACTATTATAGTTTGGATGACACTCAGTGATAATTTAATACTATGTAGTGATCTAAAATCTAAATATTACATATTATACATTATACATAATATTATATGTATAAGTATATATATTTTACCATCACAAGATAATAATTATGATATAGACTTAGCCGTTTGTTCATATTATTTAAATATAAGCTTTTGTACTGTAGATTTGTCAAACAAATTTTTTCATATATTTTTGAAATGTTTTCCTTTTTTTTCGGGTGAAAGAATCATTATGTCTAACTTAAAAAAATTAAAAAGTTTTTACAAAATTGAATTACTAAAACTTTATCTTAACTAATGCTAGTATTATTTGTTATGAAAAAGAATAACTGTATAATAACGTGAAACTAGCTTTTTACTTTTTAGTGACATTACTTCATACATTTTGTACGCATACAACTACTAGAGCAGTAAGTAATGTCGATTGAATGGTGTAAGAAATCATGTAGGTATTTATCAAAATAACTATCTTATTGTAGTACTGAAGAGGTACCTACTTGTTCTACTTACATCAATAATATAAGCAAATACATACAATAACTTATTAGCAATCGTTATTAGCAGAATGCATGTTAGCACTGAAAACGGGTATTCTGCGATAGGGTTAATTAATTAAACTGTTTGTTATCAGATTTTTTAACTTGCCAAACACACCAAGTTGTCTTCAGCTGCTGTTGTCAGATACAAATATTCACCATGCACAGTACGTGCTCATGTTCACGTTTACCATCCCGAGCACAATATGTTAAATGTATGCATGCAGGCATGTATGTTTATGGAGAATAATAAAAAAAAATAATTTCCGGCTCGGACAAGCGGCTTCCGCTACGTGCTTGCATGTGTCTCGAACTTTAACGAATATTACTCTGTTTATGTACAGACACCGACTTTATTAAAATATTTTAGTAATTCAATTCCCAGCAACGCAATACTTGCAGCAAGCGGTGGGCCAGAGATTGTGAAAGTGGGTAGTTTTAATATATGTTCCTGATAAACACACCGCCTATCATAATAAAATGACCTATGCGCGCATGAAATCCACTAGATAAATTGTTATTTCACTATTTTATGTTTACACAGTGTACAAGAATACGTTTAAATATTTTACTCACAATTGATGATAAATCGTATAATTAAACATAATGTTATATCATAAAAAATGTTTTTTAATTGTTCTTCTTACTTTTATCATTCCAATGTTTTGTAATTTATATGTCCAAAATCAATAAGGAGTATAAAACATAATATGACAGCGTTTTTTGATTTATACTGCATACCATTGCATCAGATATTTTTATATTTTTACTCTATTCGTCAAAATAAAAAAAAATCATTTCTATGGTATCAACAATTATTAGATAATGTGTTAAGTGTAAGTCTATAGTAAATATTAAATAATAATATGATGTACCTACAATATTTCATATTTGTATACATTATAAATTATTAAAGTAGGTGCAAAGTACATCAAGTTATTTAAAAAATGTATAAATTTGCAACACTTGAATTAATAATAATCAATTAATATTTAAAATAATATTAAGTAGACTTATTTTAAATTCTACACACAGAATTGAGATAATTTTTTTTTAGGAATATTGATGAGCAACAAATAATAAGTCTGAAATTGTTTGATCTTTTGATGAGTTATTGGTAAGAAATAATAATGAACATCCATTCAACTATAATAACACTATTCTATGTTCTCTTTGATACATAAATATTAATAATGGCACAACATTTTGGTATAAATGTATAATGTATAAACTTATGAATTATGAATAGAAAGAAATAATTGTTCGATATTGTTCTGTACACAAATAGTTCAAACAACTGTGAAATCAGTTGACCTTCAAACTCAGCGTGTTAGCTAAATAATTATATATGTTGATAATCAGTATAATTTTTGTCACAAATCTTAACCTCTGTCGTTTATTACATTTTTGCATTTATTCTTTTTGTTATTTCAATTAATAATAATTCTCACGTCTTTATGATGATTCATTTTTACACACATTTTCTCATATTTTCTTTTGTCATTAAAAAAGAAGTCACTTTTCTAAAAAAAATTTAGGTATCCGTCAGTGTTGCAAATAAAAGCAAGAATAAAAATGGTTATTTTTTGAAGCATTGAAATAATTGGAATCTTTACAAAAAGTATTCGATGAGTATTTTTGTTCTAACATTTTTTTTTTTGAATAGTCAGATTGTTCTTTACAATAAAAAATATTTCACGAGTATCATATGTATTGGAATAAATACCTAAATAATAAATTATTAGTAAACAAAATATATTTTTGCAGTGAAATTTAGTTACAGAATTAATTAACTATCACAGTGGATATTTAAAATTGACGAGAAATAAATGCTTATTAGACCCAAATTATTATACTGATGTACAATGTACTGGTTGCCCTAAAACAATTGAGAATGTTTCGAAATAGAAAAAATAGTAAGAACCTCGACGATAACTATATATTTTATTTTACAATGATTTAATGTAATAAAAATAATAGGTTCATAATAAAAATAAAAAAAATGATTACGATGTGATCCGTAAAATGAAACGACAAATGTCGTTGGAACTATATTTTAAGATGGAGAGTTATTATTTGATATTATCAAACGTAAAACATATATATCACCGAACATCGACTATAATAGGGTTGCATTTAATGGTATATCGTTTAAAGCGTATACGTGGCAAATCTGCACGTATGCATTTATCGTATGAATTGAAAAATATAAATTTTATTATTTCTGCCTTTCAAAATCGTAAAAATTGTTCGCTCTTTATTTATTCTTCCATTTTATTAGGTGTGCGAACATTCTGCT